TACCGAAAAAAGGTATTGATATTAGACCGTTATGAGAGAAAAATAATAATTTAATAATATAAATATAGATAAAATTACCGAAATAGAATAATTGTTGGAATTTATGTGTTATTTTTAGAGATGTTAATCATCGATACTCGTGATTAACTAGAAAAACAAATGGTAACCACCACGGAAATGAGGGACTAAATATGTCAATTGAAAAATCTCTTTAATACATTCACTTTCTCATCGCGCGTGCTTCTGTTGGTCTTAGCTGTGGTCCAAATCAGCACAGGCTGCCACGTGTCGAAGGGTATTGTCCTACCACCATATTGCAACTTTGCGAATGCCGGTGAGACACGTCTTTAAATCTCTCTTTCCATGTATATATTTACATTTCTAATCCCTCAACTATTATTAATCACATATTTTATCCTCAGACATTTATACCTTCAATTATCTGTGGTCCCATAGAAGAAAACAATATTTTTATTTTGGAGTGTTGTCAAGCAGATGTATTATTCAAACAAAAATTTATCTATATTTTTTTTATTAATAATCATTATTTAGTTTATGATATTTTAAAGGTTTTAATAAACAGTAAAGTGTTTTTATTTAAAATTTAAATATTGCATATTCTCAATACAAATATTTTATACTTCATTCATTTCTACGTATTGATTTCATTTTTTGAATAAATAAAAGTAATTTGATAAAAAAATTCAATTGCTACTGATGTTGACAACATGGGTCCGTTCATGGTTGTCTACAACTCTACGTGTATCTTTTTGAATCAATGCATTTTAATTAAAAAGTCAAGTTTTATTTTTAATGTCTTATCAAGTACGTATTAAATATATATTATTAGTTTGATGTTTGTTACTTGGACTTGTATTTTACCAGTTTTATCCTTATAAACGTAAATTGTCATGTTAAATTCTTATTTTCAAGTAAAACTGTTTAACTTTTTAATTGAAAAATATGACCATGGTATGCCTTTATAAATCGATGATTAGGCTAAGCCTAAATGGGTTAATCACTTCAATACGACTTTATATGATTGAATCTATAAATACCGAAATAATGCACAATATTAAATGACTAATATTGTCATTTTATAAATGGGTGTGGCTATGATTGTATGTACAAGTATATATATTCGTTTTCGTTCGTAGAATAGTTTTCAATCACTCGTTTTATGTATTGAATTTTCTTGATCAGAGCAAATCGTAAGTCAAATACAACTCACTTGAAAATGACGGGTGTCAAAATTTCTCACCGTTAAAGCAGTCTTATCCGTGTAAATATTAGGAATTCCTCCTCTAACTCGTCCATTACGTCAAAGAACACGAATAAAAAAGAAACCTCTCGTCGAGTGGACGTTGACCGGTCTTAATCCAAACAACACAAATAAACATTTCATCCAGATGCTAGTATTGTTAATTAACATTTTAGAATGGTAATGCAACATACAATTAATGGACTTTTTAAGTTTTAAGTTACAATATAATTTATTATTTTGGTTCAAGTATTTAGAAGACGTTTGATTCATTTTAGAGGATAAAAAGATGAATGTTGCAAATGAGAATGAGAATACCTATTAATTAACGGAGAAACATATATCATTTTCTTAGATGTTGATTTGTTGTTGGTATCAATTCCTCATACAATCAGACACTTCCTATAAATAAGAACTATCAAATCGAGTATTCCAATAATGCAATCATTTTTCTTTCCAATTAAACATCAAATATTTCTTACTACGATAAAAATTAGAATGCCCATTTACGTCGGAGACAACTAATATATAGCGAGTATCATAAGTCTAATAACAATCGATGGTTGCACAAAAGATATAGAGGGTGTTGTGGGCTTGTGGAGACGAAGCAGGCGATCAGATACATATATGGAATCTAGTACACGACACTGGAAACATGGATGCATTGACAAAGAAGTAGTAAAATTTTTCAATCTATTTCCATCTCCAACCCCCTTATAACTTCCCAAACCAAACATCCCATCAATTCAATGCGGGATATTAGTTTTTGTGTATTTTTGTTTAGATGAATTCTTCTATTTATTATAAAAATACCATAATTTCATACATACATATATATATTTTTAAATTTTTATGATATTTTCAAATTTATATTTTATTCAAAAATAAAATCATTTTGTGTATTTTTGTTTAGATGAATTCTTCTATTTATTATAAAAATACCATAATTTCATACATACATATATATATTTTTAATTATCCTTAAATATGTATAGTTATGATTTCAAATTATATGAGACAACTCATACTATCTTTTATCTAGACTGAACAAATCTAGACCTTTATATCATAATTGTCCTTTTCATGCCTTTACTTGCATTAAGAGATTTACAAAATTGAGTTTGATTGTAGCCATAACTGGTCCCAAGCCTAATGCCCACTTCCCTCGTTTGGTCATGTCATAATCAACCCTTCAACCTAATATTTTAACTTAATAGGACCACGGTTTCAGGTCCGATCCTTCACCATACAAGGTATGGTTTTCAATTTTTTTATTTATTTATATACGTGTATAACGCATATAGATACATGTTATATTAATGTTTTGTGTAATGTGCATAGGCATACATGTATCATGTATATGTTTGTATGTGCTATGTGTGTATATGTATGTGAAGTATGTAACTATGTATCATATAAATTATAGAAATAATATTTTTGAAAAAACTTGATTCTAACTTGTTGCGACGAGTCATTTGACTGATCTTTCACCAATTTTAGTTCTCAGTCTTAACGGGTCATTTCCACAACCGGATTAGGCCAAAAAGTTATAGTTAATCGTAACTGATGAACTCTAAGTAGTCATTAACTAGGTCTTTCAATCCTTTATACAGATTAAGTCACAATTATACATCTCTTTATACATTTTAAATGCAAAATGAAGTCTCATTAAATCAAATGGATCAACATCCAACACCACCATTGTTTCATTTTAAAAAAGTGAGCTTGTTTTAATCAACAAGTAAATTACAGTTTATACGTACTTTTTTTTTTAAACTGAACAAGGTTATTAAGGTCTTGACTGATATTCAAATATGTAATTTTTTCAGAAAAAAAATACAATTTTTTTTTCCAATTATGTTCATTATATTTTACATAAATGCCCTTATTTTTGTAAAGTTATTTTACTCTGTTAAAATGTTTGTCAGTTGGTTTTACTAAACATCACTAACTTATCAACTCATAAAATATAGTTGATTGCCAATTATATTTTCTTTAAAGTATATTTATTAAATCATATGTTGTATTTTTTAACAAAAAAATGTTTAGAAAATGTCATTAAATATTCATGCTAAGGGGATATTTGGTTGATTTTTCATTAAATTATGTATGTATAAAGTTGCATATATGAATTAATCTATCTATATAAAGTGAGAAGATTTTTGTTTTGAAAGATTTTTTCCTTAGATATGAAAGAAACATGTTTTTTTAATTGGATGAAACATGTTTGGAGAAAACTTGGCTTTATGAATAAACTTCCTTAGAAGCTTACCAAATAAGTCCCTTTCTATCAGTGTTAAAAATGTATGTCATGGTTGATGTAAGACATGTTTCCGTTGTTACGAAAAGGCTCATGACGTTCTTGTTAGACATGGCTCACACCTTGACGTCTTGAAGCACGACACACATGTTTGTTACTAGACTTTTTTTTTTTTTTTTAAATTAACATTTTTTAGCTTTTGTATTCTTATACTTTTAACTTTAGATTATCCATTTTTATAGACTTGGTTAGTCACATTACTCACACTTTCACAAAATTCATAACAAGTGTCATGGTGACAATTAAAAAGAAGTTGTAATAATTATCTTTATAAGTTCTTCTTTTTTAATATTTAATCAAAGACTATTTTTATAATTGAAATCAATATAATTTTTCTTCTTCTAATATCAATATAAATTTTTTAATATCATTATCTGCTTCAATAATATATATCTATACTATATTATAAAGCATTTGACAAAAACTTTTAAAAACCATTTTTTATTCGTAAAGTACTGTTTATTAATACATATTACTTAAAACTCAAGATTACAAATAGATTGTGCGTAAGTACAAGTTATTAAAGCTTCATATCTGAATTCGTGTAACTAACTGCAGATAAACATAATCAAATACAGAATAAACATCTCAATTTAAATATAAAAAATCTAAAATATAATTGAATTTTAAGATAATACTTAATTATTATCTTTATAAAATGTTATATTATTAAATAAAAATAAATTATTTCATTATTAAATTTAAATTAAATTATAATAAAATAAATAAATTAAAGAAATTACATAAAAAATAAAAACTTTTAAATAGTTGATTTGATATTAACATTGATATATTTTTCTTCAAATTTTTATGATATCTTCAAATTTATATTTTATTCAAAAATAAAATCATCAATGCTTTCATAAAAACACATAAAATCGTAATATAACATCGACAGAGATAAATAATAAAATATAACATTAAAATCGAGATTTATCTCGCTACATTATACGAGTACTCTTCTAATATATATATATATATATATATATATATATATATATAACACGTAAAACTTGAGACTTGACATTGTCACCAAAACACATCATACCTCATACCATTTTAAACATTACTTTTATATCATTAAACCACAATCAAATAACAATTAAATTATTAGCAAAGAGAACTAAGTAACAGTGATGATCAGTATTTTACAACCAATCATTAAAAAGAAGTAAATTTAAATTAGAATTTAAAAAAATATTAATTATTCTTTTATTTTTTTTTCCTTTTCCCTTCCATTTTTACTAGAATGTCACTTTCTTCTTCTTCTCTCTCTGTCTTCTGCCTTCAAAACCTTTCCTCCTCTCTTACATCTCTATCTCTCTCTACTGTATCACTCTCTCTCTAACCTATAAAAAGCTGCCTATCTTGTTCCTATGTAACCTTTCCTTCTCTAATTCAATCTCTTCCATGGTGGATACAACCTAAACGCTTCTGCACCACCTCCACCCTCATCAATTTTTCACTTCATACATTAACAATCACTACCCACCAACCTATCATCGTCGTCGGAGTTGTATTAATGGCGTTTCATCCTAACCATCTCTCACAAGAGATGGCCTTACAACAACATTTCTCCGATACCGACAACAATTCCGTCCTCCGCACAATTCTACCAGACCACCACCACCACCACCTCGCCGTCGCAGCTCAATCTTCTCCTTCTTCTCGTTCTGTCGGAAAAGACCATTGGCTCAATAGCGCGATTCTCCGGCAACAGAATCAGTACGGCGCTGGGGCTGCTGATGGTGGTAATAATTTCCTCAACTTGCAAACGAACAATAATTCGGAATCTGCCATAACAACGTCTTCTCAGCTTCATCATCAGCAACACACCGGGAATAATAATAACCAGTGGCTATCGAGATCGATGATGCAGAGGAACGTTAGTGATGTTAGAGGAGACGACATCGTTTCCCAAGTCTCCAACGATTCGATTATCGCTGCCATGTCTTCCCACGATTCTCCTGATTTAAACAATCAGTCCAGAAGCGTCGTCGCCAGCCAGGTTAGATATCTCCAAATTTTCAATTTTCAGGTTCATAATTTGTTTATATTTTCCAACTGCAAATGCTCTGTTTTAGTTGACGAATTATTCTTGTTTATCAAGAAAATTTTCAACAATCTCATACACCATTGACTTTAATATACCACAAACACTACTAAAATGAAGTGATTTAATTGTCGATGAGCTTATCGCCGATAATTTTACATTTAAATTTAGGGTTTGCTACTAAAGAATTTTTGTAAATAAGTTCCTAGATGCCATGTGCCCTAGAATTTTAGACTTTTTGTGCTTGAACAATGTGCCCTAGATGCCATGAATCCTAGCCCAAACCGGATTTGCAGCTCTGCAGCAGAGACTCTGCCACTAATTGCAAGAGCCTAGCTCCATAGGGGTCGGGTCAATTGGGTGAACCCTACGTCATAGACTCTTCCATGAGGTGGCAAAGCTCTTGCTGAAGCAACGGGGTTTCTTTGACTTGCTGGTTACTTTCACAAAGAACACCTACTGGTGATGAAAGATTTGGAAATTCGCCAGAGAAACGTAAAACTTGTCAATCATTTTTTGGAAAATCTGGGTTTGATAGTTCTTGTAAGATTATCCGTAAGGCTTGCCAATATGATTATCGCCACCATGTTTACAGGTGGATAATAATGGAGGGGAGAGTGAGGTTGGTGGCGGTGAAGGGGCGTTAGTGAACTGGCAAAACGCAAGGCACAAAGCAGAGGTACTATCACATCCACTTTACGAGCAGTTGTTATCGGCTCATGTGGCTTGTTTGCGAATTGCAACGCCTGTGGATCAGCTGCCGAGGATCGATGCACAGCTTGCACAATCTCAGCATGTAGTATCCAAGTATTCGGCCCTCGGCGGACATGCAAATCTTGGTGATGATAAAGAGCTTGATCAATTCATGGTATGATGCCTCTTGATCTATGTTTCCCTCAACTCTTTTCACATTTTGCACAAAAGATTGTACATTTTTTGGGAGCCCCCAGGACTAATCATGTTCGATGAGGTTTGCCAACCATCCTGGTGGTATAAAGGTTGCCTCCGTTACCATTTATAACGCCCTATAGTCCAAAGAAGGAGATTAGCCCAATAACCTCTACAATGCATGTCTTAAAATATAATTTGGGTGCCTACCGCCGGCCAAATTTATGTATATTCATTGTATGACCGTGTTGCAACGCAGACTCATTATGTTCTGTTGCTTTGTTCTTTTAAAGAACAATTACAACAACATGTTCGGGTTCATGCAATGGAAGCGGTTATGGCGTGTTGGGAGATTGAGCAGTCGCTACAAAGCTTAACAGGTGATTTTGGTTTTTGTTATTTTTATCGACGTTAAGGGTGAAACTTATTTGTTGTTGGTTGTTGAAACTTAAACATGCAGGAGTGTCACCTGGAGAAGGCACAGGTGCAACAATGTCGGATGATGATGAAGATCAAGTCGAGAGTGATGCCAATTTGTTCGATGGGAGTCTTGATGGACATGATAGCATGGGGTTCGGCCCTCTCGTGCCAACGGAGAGCGAGAGATCCTTGATGGAGCGTGTACGGCAAGAGCTAAAACATGAGTTGAAACAGGTATCAACGACATTAATGTTGCTTTCTATTAATGATATTGGTTTTGATTCACATATGTATATAATAGGGTTACAAGGAGAAGATTGTGGATATACGGGAGGAGATATTACGTAAAAGAAGGGCAGGGAAACTACCAGGGGACACGACTTCCGTCTTAAAATCGTGGTGGCAATCACATGCGAAATGGCCATACCCTACCGAGGAAGATAAGGCAAGATTGGTACAGGAAACTGGGTTGCAATTGAAGCAGATAAACAACTGGTTTATTAATCAACGGAAGCGAAACTGGCACACCAATCCTTCTTCTTCTTCTTCTTCTACGGTGTTGAAGACGAAACGTAAAAGGTATTAGATTGTGACTGCCCCTTGGTTGTTTATTTGTTTATAGATAAGAGTTATGATGAAAATGTGATATATGCCGATCCTAATCTCAAAAAGAAGCAATGCAGGTGAATGATTGATCATAACATATCATGCAATTGCAACAAAGATGAAGCACAAGGAGCTCTGCCAACATGAGGAAAATGGCTATTTATTTGTTCACAGAAGTTGGAGTTTCGAAAGTCACACACATACACACATATATATACATACATACATATATATATATATATATGTATGGGCAAATGAAAAAGTGAATTTGAGATACCCTTATCCCTATGTATACTATGAGCTTTGTGTGAATAGGATAGGAGATTTAGGGTGTACAGAATAAGAAAGTGGCTATTTTGTTCAAGTATTGTATGGTAGTTGGTTTTGGAAACTTCTGATTTGGGGTTACAAAGGTGTAGAGAAACCACAAGAAGCCTCTTTAATTTGGCAGCAATAAATCAAAAGGAGAAGATAGTTGTATTTTGTTGTGTATGTGAAGGGATGTTTTGCACCTTTTCTTTTGTATGTTTTGTATCAATCAGCCTCGCTCGGATAAAGGTGCATATGGAATGTGCGACAATATGATGTAAGAAAGTTGTCGTGTATTTAAGAAGTAATGGACTTGGGACATGATAAGACCAGGTGTAATGTAACACCATCATTTCCGATTTTCCACTATGAAATTGTGAAACTGTCACGTTGTTTTCTTTATAAAACCATCTATTTATGGGCAAACAACTTAAATAATATATAAATTATGTAATATCCTTAAGTCATCCCATGACGAAATAATATATCATCAAACCATTATCCACTAAATAATGTATTATACAACCATAAGATGAAGTTAATTACATTACCATAATCACCTTTCCTTAATAATTCTGAACCTACAATACACACTAATAGTCAATTAAAAGACGAGTGATTTTCATGCACATACATAAGCATATCATGAGTAAAACAACTATTTCACATAAACTTTCATATTTATTCATAGAACATACTTTGATATTTTTTAGATCTTATAAACACACTCAGTTTGGATGTGACGCACACATCGTCTGCCACCATAACAGGACTATTCCCACCTTAATCCGGCATCCTAATGTAAACTCTCCCATATACATAAATATACCATATAATGCAAAACCATAAAATGCAAAGATATGAAATTGAACTTTTATGGGTGTTTGGTTCGGTCAGAGGAATGAGAATGAGAATGACCGGGAATGAAAATGGGAATAAATTTTCATCCCCCCCCCCCCCCCTGGAATCAAAATTTAGGCTTTTGGGGGAACGANTAAAATGCAAAGATATGAAATTGAACTTTTATGGGTGTTTGGTTCGGTCAGAGGAATGAGAATGAGAATGACCGGGAATGAAAATGGGAATAAATCCCCCCCCCCCCAGCTTAACCTGGAATCAAAATTTAGGCTTTTGGGGGAACGAACTCATTATATTATATAAAACCAAACAATTTCTTTTATTTTCATTCGTATTAATTACTGTCTAATACCTCTAACCAAACACCCCCTTAATTTGGTATGCTAAACACAAACAAGAGCATGCATGCTCCTCTGGTTTTAGGTTCAACAGGGATAGTCCTCCTAGCAACGCTTCCTTCATAAATATCCACATACATGTTTAAGATATCCATAAATATGTACATAACCACATGCTTCCTAAGCCATATCAAATACAATACATTATGCCTTCGTCCCAACATATCATGCACCAAATCCTTGTGCATATATCTATTTATGTTTTACATAAAAGTCTAATAAAATTTACCTATCAGTGTAGTGTACTACTAGCAATAGCTACCGCTCAATAACATGTACATAATGTATACCACAATTTCAAAAAAAATAAAACTATTCAGTGACCAATTTTGTTGAAAAGTCAACAATGATAAACCCGACCTTAAGTTGATACATATCCACAAGTCTCCTAATCTTATCTCAACAACTAGTTTGAACCTGACATCTCAATCCATTAGGTTCACATTTAAACATTTAATCTTTTAGACATCTTTTTAAGTCAATTTTTTTTGTTATATAAATATATACTATTAATCAACAAGTAACGTTAACCTAACTTGACATTTACTCATCGTTATACACATCCGTTGCATATATAACACCACATATACATGTAGAGGTTGGTTTTTTTTTGTTAACTCAATAATTGGTGTTAACTATGTGAACCAATCTTAACCCTTAATCCATGAAATATATAGATTAAATCATGGCATATTTGTAATAAATGAAAATTTGAACAAAAATTAACATTGATGAAAAAAAAATTCATGATATATGAACACATGAATTTTTTTATTGAACACCTACGGATAACATATGGTTATAAACACAATCTTATGAACGCTTTATGGTTATAAACACATTATTATGAATATCTTATGATTATGAACATATCTTTGTAAACACCTAGGAATATCATTAGACACCATAAAAGTAACTTTACACATAAAAAATTGTAACATTTCATTAAATACCGTAAAAGTAACTCACATATAAAAATTACTTATTTGTCCTTCAATATTGAATCAAATATTTTAAGTAACATCTACCAAAGAATGAATCTTATTGGTCCAATAAGTTCACAAAGTTAACATCATATTCTTCATTAATAAAAGATCTTACCTCTATACATGTATACACACACACATAAAACCATTTCACTAAACGGGTTGGATTTTGGTGAAATGAGAGTTATAATGAGAAGAGTAAGAAGGGATATCCACCTTTGAATCGATCTTAATTGAAGAGTTTCACCATATCAACACTAATGATAAACACCAGAGTCCAAATCGACTCTTCTTACACTTTTTTACCTTAACTCTTATTCTCACATCATCCTTCCTCTTCACTAATAATTAAAAATTTCCAAATAACATTTCATTATCTTATAAAATCCTAGAAGTCAACATAACCATCAATTCAATTCCTTTGCCAAAATATCCTCCAAATAATTAATCAACCAATAATTTTTGAATAAGTATAATACATAATTAAAAAAGAAATTTAATAATTTATGTGAATTCATAATTATTTATCCCAATTCCCAAAGAATTACTAATTTCAACCTCAATTTAAGTGGATGGGTTATCTTATACCTGTGAAAACCGAATTAGTGGGCTTCGGCCCAACAAAGTAACCAGCAACCGACAACCGTACTGGATCTGTCCCGCAACAGTCCGACCCGTGGATACCACGACATCACGCGGATCTTGGCATCGCTCCGTTTGGACCCACACCCCCCAAGTGTTGCTGCCGAATTGCCGAAACAGGGGTTCACGATCTAATTCAAATGTTTGGAGAAGTTGCAAAAACAGGCCCCTTTACTTTGGCCAATTACAGATCATTCCCCGATTCCCACTTTATTTACAACCTCGCCCCTTTTACTTTTCTTGATTATAAATAGACCAGGAAGTTTTTGGGTATTAGAACTCTCTCTCTCTTACAAGAATTTCGTTCTCAAAAATTCGTATTGCTTTTTAACAAATGGAATCATTTTCCTTCCGTCTTTACTTGGAACCAAACTATAGAATGTCAAATAACGTTTTCAAATCAAGTTATAAATGTATTTTGTATCAATCAACGATTTTTAAAACGACAAATTCAAAAGTCAAACAAAAAACCAAAAATAATCAAAGCATAAACGAAAAAATTGAACATAAATCGAAAATCCTGAAGCCTAGATCGGTAGAAAATCAATAGAGAATTAACTTTGCATATACCGAAAAACTAGATGTTAAACATTATTGGTCACTGACTATTTACCAAAAGACGTAAACCCAGAAAGAACATTTCATTATAATTTACTGCATACCAATGATAGCGTCATATTTCAATCGGCATCTCGTATCATGGATCAATTTGGGTGGTGATTGAAGAACCATGACAAGTGTATCAAATGATGCAAGTCATCACCTAGCTACAGACGATCATCATTGGACTCTCTTCCATCGCTCCACCGTTGATGCCTACTCCTTCAAGCCCCATTTCAAAATAGTCTTTGTAATTGATGGGTTTTGATTTTAAAACAGTGTTCGTGCTTATAAAAGGTGTTCAAGACTTTGATTTTAAAATGTTCCAATCATTTTGTATTTCAAGGATTTGATACTTTTTTTTCTCTCCTGTTTTTCACATATTGTAGCCTTTTTTTTTTATTCGTCACTGGGAGGAGAATCGGTGTTTTCATCCGTGCTTAAAACCCTAACTGTGTTTTTATCAAAGGTTTTGATTTTAGATGAATCTTCATTATTATTGAACTACAATCTTTTATTTGCGTACAATTTCTTTCCTATAGTTTCCATATTTTATAATTTTGAATTTGTTATCTTGTTTTTTTATATATTTGCAGTTTTTCACGTATAATTTAATTAGTTGCTTAAGTTTAAGATAAAAAATAAATATAAAAAATAGTGTCTTATCTATTTTACCATTTATTTTACTTTTGATAGTTAACAATAACGGAGGCAGTGACTTGATTTTTCTGAAATTGTTATAATAGAACGTGTAATAATTTTTATTTCAAAAACCGAGACTCCAAGTAGAAAAATGATTGTAGCTTTTGTTGTTTTTTTGAATCATGTATTATATTCATCACTTATATGTTACGTAATATAAGGTTCTAGTAAGATATTTTTTGTCATACAAAAACTTTACACGGTTCTCGTATTGAACAGAAGGTTAATCCACACATGTTATTATTCTCTTACCATCCTCTTTTTAACCTAAAGATGAGGCATTCGGCCTAACGGTATCGGGTAACCCCAACCTTTTTAGAATCCCAAGAGCTTCAATTTCACTAAAAGTTATGAGCATGTGTGAGTTTCTTTTATAATATATAAATAAAAAAAATCATCACTTAGGGATTGTTTGTTTATCTCTTAATAGTTTTCTTAATAGTTCAATTAAGAAGCAGTCTCTGAATCATTAAAAGGTGAATCTTGTTTGGCAAAAAAAAAAGTCTGCCTCTTAATGGTTTTAAAATCATCTAAATGATTTTAAAATCATCTAAATGATTTTGTATCATGAGTCTCCCTTAACTATTAAACGCCCTACTTTCATTGTAAACAATTATCAAACAATAATATTTCATTTTGCACTATATCATGAGACCCTCTTAATCATTATGTACCAAATCATTCAGCAACTGTCAAACACTCATTTACTAGAAATAGAAATCGGGGATGAGAAGAAAGACAGACACCATAAGAATCCATAAATTAACCAGGAATTTCATTTTTGAACAAAACAAATGCGAAAGTTTAGACTGTAAATTACTTTACGATTTGATATAAATAGTAAAACAGGAGTCACTGTATACGCGTACAGGCTGTTGTTTATGCATAAAGATAAATTTTTTAAGGTTTTGCTTTACATTACACGCATCTTAGTCTTACTTCCACTACAAAAGACTTGAATTACGTCATTTTGTTTAAGCATCCAAAAACGGACATGTTTTTACTTTCTTCTTTCATATTATCGTAAGGATTATAACAATAAATATATGGTCGAAGTCGATCATCTTGGCCCTAAGACTTGGTTGATTCCTACTATAACATGGTCATCTCGTCTACTATGAATATATGAAGGATCGATGAGTTCGTGTTAATTGGTCTAAAAGTTTCTTGATTTTAACCATTCGTTGGTCCCATACCTTTATCCCTTTTTGATTGTAACTTGCAATGCAAATTTGTTTTGTGTGCACACCTTGTAGGGTTTAATCAGTTAAAGTTAAAGACACGTCTATTCATTGGATTTTCATGTGATGTTAGGTTAGATGTCTATTTCAAGAGGTAAGGTATTACACTTTCGAATAATGTCACTATATGATTATTAAACCAAGTAAATACCAACGAATGTTCTTAACTGAATTACTAAATATGAGCATTGCATCAGTTCCATGCTTACGATGGTTAGAACGAATCAGTAATTTTGTAGTGTTTTTAATACGTGGATGATTAAGTATGTTTTTAAACCTAAAACGTAAATGTATTTTATAAGTACAAAAGAAAAAGGATAATTTCAAATAAGTTAAATAATAACAGCAAAGAATATGATATCACATAGATTCATTAATTAAAGTGTTTATTTGATAAAATTGAATAAAAGTCTACTAAATAATTATTACTTTTAAGTATTTGACAGTTTGTAATTAAAGAGATTTTTTTTTTGCGAAAATAGGTCATTAAAATGCTTCTAGGCATGGGAATGGCGCGGGGACCTCAATCCCTGTCCTGTTCTTGATTATTTATCTCTATCCCTGCCGGATAATATAATCACATTCTCATCTTCAACAAGGAACGGGGATCCTCAACGGGGAAACGGGGATTTTTGTTTTCATTCATATAAGTTATTTTAAATGAAATATGTGAAAGATCATACATGTTTAAATCTCAAACATTTTCAATAAAACTAAAATCAAAATGAATTTAATTTAACACAAAAAAACCATAACATCATATAAGAACTAATAACTTAAAGCAAAAAAAAATTCAGTTTAATCTGAAAAAGCTTAAAGTCACATGTACCAAAAGATATTGAGTAATATAAAACCATATCGAGTAATATACAAAACTTATCGAGTAATTGTATTTTTACTTGACATCTAAAATATTACATATTAACATCCAAAAAATAACAATTTTAGATTATAAACCTAGTTAGAAAATATGAAATTATGAATTACCGGTTGAAATTATATATATATATATATATATATATATATAATTAATTAATATATATAATGGGTACGGGACGGGCAAAGAGTACCATCCCCGTCCCCGGTTTGAGACAAACGGGGATCCCCGTCCCCTTCCCCAATTTAGTGGGGAATCCTCGTCCTCGAACGAAACGGGTGGACCGGGTTACTCGACGGATCAGGATCCATTCCCTGCCTAAATGCTTCCTAAAAATGCCTTTACAACTTCAACCCTTAACTTTTTAAACAAATTTTAATTACACCATTTTCTTTTCTTTATTTTTTTTAATTATATGTCTAAATTTTTATTACATTTCTTTTCAATTAGACGGGTTTTATATATACATAATTTTCTTTTCAATTACGTCATTTATTATTATTTTTTAATTAAAACCTTTATTCAAGAACTTTATTTTTTCATTACGCCATTTTCTTTTCAACTACACAATTTCATCTATATTTTATTAGTTTTTTTTAATAAATTACTTTATTAAAAATATTTTACTAATTCCTTCAAATTGATATCGATATTGAATATTGGATATTACTGTTATTTTATTTTTAACTTTATTTTAAATTAAAAACATTATAAACAACACTTTGTATGGATATAAATAAAATATAAAGACATAATTCTTCATTTAAATAAACAACATACAATATACAAAATAAGAAATACAATAAGTTGATAAAATGAAGCATCAAATTAAAATTATCATCTCACGGTATTACAACACCAATTAAAATAAAATTGCAGATTTCACAACAAATTGAATCTTGGTTTAGAATTTGGACAATTTTTTCGATTATGACCAGATTGGTGGCATGATCCACATAATTTTAAATGTTTTTAATTTAATTGATTTTATATAATCTTTAAAAAAAATTATGTTAATTGATTTTACACATTTCTAACAAGTAAAATCACGTTGATTTGATTACACACAATATTTTTTTTAATTGATTTGATTTTACACGATTTTAAACATTTTGAAAAGAATTGATTTTAGACCTTTTAAACATTTTAGTTGATTTGATTTTATATAATTAAATTAAATAAAGAGAAAAAATGGGTGTAAAAAATTACACCTCTTTTTTCCCTTTAACTATTGTAAATATATAAATAAATGAATCATAAAATAAAATTGTTAAATAAAATAAATTAATTTTAATTATATATTTACAATAATTAAATTTATACAAAATATATAACGAGGGTATAATATAATAACTAAAAAAAGGTCAATGTGTAATTGAAATCTGTTATCATATTAAAAAGAGTTGAATTCAAAACAGTTAAAGAAGTCTACCACCCTAGTTTTACAAAACAAATTAAAACTACCTTATTTTAACAAAACGCTTAAAAAACCATCTTATTTTACCTTATTGTGCATCATCAATGTCACTAGTAATTGTTATTTAATAAAATAGTAAATTTTGGATTAAATAAATAAATAAAACAGCATTTTTTTCAATTAATTTGCAGGTGTTAAATTTTCAAAAAGAATCTTTTAGGAGGGGTTTGGTCGGGTCAGCCATTTTTGTATTCTTCAACTACTCGCGCATACCTCTATGGATTACAACCAAAACACATACGACTTTTTTCTTCTTCTTCTTCTTCTTCTTCTCCACCCCTCTTTCCTCCCACTTCTCTCCTTCCAAATTCCCAAAAGTTTCCCAAATTTCTACATGTAAAAAGATTCAAAAACATTGAATTTTGGATCATGGGTTGTGGGAATTTCTTCTTCACTTTGATTATAACCTTTTCGGTTGCTCTAATCACATACAACATCATTATTTCGGCCAATGCTCCACTCAGGCAAGAGCTTCCAGGTTCGTCGCAAGGGGTTCTTTCTGTCGACCCCATCATCAAGATGCCCGGTGATAGAAAGTCAGCTTCCGCCAGCAAGAAGAGGCTGTTTCATACTGCAGTTACTGCCTCTGATTCTGTTTATAATACATGGCAGACTAGGATCATGTATTATTGGTTTAAGAAGATGAAAAAAAATGGTGGAGTTAATTGTGAAATGGGTGGATTTACGAGGATCTTGCATTCTGGAAAGGCTGATAAGTTTATGGATGAGATCCCTACTTTTGTTGCTCAGCCACTCCCCCCTGGTACAGATCAGGTATAATTGTTGAAATGATCATATGGGTATCTCTTAATTCCAACAAATTTTGAATCCTTTGATTTAGGAAATTAGGTTTTTGTTCTTGCTTCATCTTTCCAAGGAAGTCAAATTTTGACTTCTAATGTCAAATGGGTATGTTTTGAGCTTCAAATTTTAGACGAATCTTTGGTTTGGGAAGAAATTGATACCTACATTGAACAATTAGTAATAGATATATAACTAGAAAGAGATAATTTGGTGTAAGAACTCAATGTCTTATTGTGGATTTTGATTTGAAAGGCGATCGTTTTGACTTTTCAAAGTCAAAGTGAGACTTCCTTTTTTGAAACATTGAGAGTGTGCATGCTTTAAGTAGAGAGAAACCCACAGTTTATTTGAAGTACCATTAGTGGGTATCTTTTAATTTCAAAACTGAGAAGGTTTTGATTATTGAGAAGTTGATTTATGCATTGAACCATATTATGTTTCTATTTGTGTGTGTAATTTTGATGTATATATCTGTCTATAGACAAAGAGAAGACCACTGATTCTAGTTTGACTTGACCTGATGGGCATCTTCTAGTTTAAAGTTGGTGGTTTCTGACTTTAAGAACATATAGATAATCGTCTTGGCCTTTTTCTGATACATTTAGATTCATAACTTGTTTACATATTTGGGGAGATTGGTTTTGATTGTTTGATTCTTGTTCAAAGTAGGTCTAGAATGAATTGATGCTTGATAACTTTTGGTTAATGTTTGATAAATTTGGTGAGTGTGGAAATGAGTTCCTTTTGGTCTCAAAACCCCACATGTGAATTCATCAAATGAGCTACCCGATCCACTTACTTTTGAGGGATTTTTACTTTCATAGACAATAGTTTTCGATGGTGATTAATAGAGTATCAACTTTACATGCGAATCATTGGGTCTGTTTGGTTTGGTTTGGTTTGAAGAGGAGGAGGTATGTACATAGGATGATGAGCTTAGCAATAAATCAAACTCGAAGGTGGATATATGGCCCTACAATGATGGATAGGGTTACGAGTGTAATATACCAGAGAACCCAAGTGACCTTTAGCCCAATGGTATTAGCATGCTTGAGGAATGTTCAAATGAGGACCATAAATATTTTAAGAACCTAGGAACTAACTATTTCATGTATTATTCATGATGAATAATCATTATTCATCATGAATATGGATAGAGCCGCTCAAAATTGATACATGTTGAAGTAGGACTGATACACCAACGGATTGATGTCATATATGAGCATGTGGAAGGAAACGTTGCTTCGTGTCTTGTTTACTTATATTTACACTTATTTTCCACTAGTAAATTAATTTCCTTCAACTATGATCAATTTGCGGTATTTTTCAGGGTTATATAGTCCTAAATAGACCTTGGGCATTTGTGCAATGGCTTCAACAAGCAGAGATTAAGGAAGAGTATGTAGAAACATAAATCCGCTCTTTTCACTCTTCTCGTATTTGTCTTTGAACTCAAAACATATATACATTCATATATGTGTAATCTTCAATGGCTTGTTTTTACATCATATGCAGCTATATCTTGATGTCAGAGCCAGATCATGTTATCGTTAAACCAATACCAAATTTGTCTAGAGACGGCCTTGGAGCAGCATTCCCCTTCTTTTATATTGAACCTAAAAAGTACGAGTCGGTTCTTAGAAAGTTCTTCCCCGAAGACAAGGGCCCGATAACCAATATTGATCCTATTGGAAATTCGCCCGTTATTGTTGGGAAGGTACATAAAACTATGCTCATGAAAACTACTTTATAAATTTACGGAAACAATATATCTACTATTTTGGATAGGGGTTAGCTCTGCTTACAACCCACCCCACCTCTGGCTGGGATATACCGGGCTCGTTTGGTACATAGATTCAGATTTCGGTTTCCTTCAATATGATCTTTTTCTTGTTTTTGTTCATGGTTAAGGAATCGCTTAAAAAGATCGCCCCCACGTGGATGAACGTGTCGTTGGCAATGAAAAAAGACCATGAAGCTGATAAGGCTTTCGGTTGGGTCCTCGAGATGTAATAATCAAGACTTTGCCCGTTTTAGTATTTTCTGATTCGACCACTTTTCAGTTAACATATATTGCTGTTACGCAGGTATGCTTATGCTGTTTCATCTGCATTCCATGGTGTTGGTAACATCTTACACAAGGACTTCATGCTCCAGGTTCATTAGTTTCATGTTCTTATTTTTCTATATGATATTATATTCCTCAACTAGCAAATAAAGGCGGTCGCTAGTTCGAGTCTCCTCATGGCCACTGGGGATTTCTCTGACTGTTATCTTTGGGGACCATGGGTTTCATGGTTCATTACTAATGTAGTTTTTTGTTTGTTTTGGGTACTATATATGTGATAGCCGCCATGGGACACGGAAATTGGCGATAAGTTTATAATTCACTACACATACGGATGCGACTATACTATGGAGGTACGACATTTCAGCTAATCAACTTCTCCTAGAAAAGCTAACTAATTTGACAAGTGTGTTGAACTGTTTACAGGGTAAGTTGACATATGGAAAGATCGGGGAGTGGAGATTTGACAAAAGATCGTTCGATACCTTCTATCCTCCAAGAAACCTTCCACTTCCTCCACCTGGTGTCCCCGAAAGTGTGGTAAGCTTTTAATTCTAAAAAACAAACCAAACAAACACAGTATATCTCCCGATGAGTCTACTTGAACCCTCTTTCATGAACTAATTTAGAAAAATGGCAGGTAACGCTTGTGAAAATGGTGAATGAGGCCACCGAAAACATCCCAAACTGGGGGCCTTAAGATGGTCGGCCAATGTTTAAACTATTTGCAGGCGGGAGATAAGGTGTATGTATATTCATCTGTCCTCTTCCTCTTAACAACATACGATCTCCATCTGTTGTTAACAGAGTTTGATCACATTAGAGCTATTTTTGGGCTAACATAAAAACACTCGTTATGGAGGAATTATATTGCGTTTTCGGGTAAATCTATTTCGGGGTCAAAACATCTGTTTAGAAGACAAGCCATATATGGGTTCAAGTTATAATCAAAGTCCAGTTTTTATTCATTTATTTATAGATTTAATGCTTTCTTTATTCTAAAAGCATCTGGTTTGTTTTCAATGGTCTGATAAATGATTTAAATTGCGTAACGACATTGTGGCTGTATTCGGTTTTTTTTTATTAATTAACCTAGATATCCAACTCGTTATGCGAGCCGACTAATCCCAGGACGATCACCTGCTTTGCAGATGGCCCGAAGTCACCACATTTGAACCTCCGTGGCCACAAGAGGATTTTTATTCCTCCTTGGATTTGAAACTGGGACCTCCTAGTACTTTTGAACTTTGGAGCCAAGTTCAAACCAATCAGACACTACCCTTTGGTTATTTGGTTTTTAAATCAGCTATTAAACTCAACGAGTTAATAGATACTTCATGCGTCATTGGTAATTCATGGCATCCAATGGTGTTAACTTATTACCAAAATAGTAAAAAAACTAAAAGAAATCATATACTTATGTTCTAAAAAAACCTTAGATACTTGTATTAATGAAAACCTCCGTCGACACCCTTATCTCCTCCTTACGCTGTCCATGCCTCTGCGTCGATATGATCTTCGTCTCTGCATCTATCTTTGCTGCGGTTTGCAGCGTCTGCCCATCTCGAAGCTTTGATCCTATTTTACCCTAAATCAATCATATCAATTGGCAATCACCAACTCAATTAATCATGATATTGTTGATCTACAACTGAAAACTAAAAGCATTTCAAATATGAGTATCACCTTCATGTTGGCTTCAGAAACATCTATCTTATCTTGATTTGCAGCTCCCATTTGTGTTTTTTGCCCTAAATACGAGAAATACTCGTGTCCAGGAACATCTACCAACTGTCACATTGGCATTGTAGATCCACAATCCAAATTGATTCAATTCCAGCTGAACTTTCTCGAACACCTCCTTCTTAATCTCCTTCGTCCCTTTTGAAGATCTCTTCCATGGTCATGGAGGCAACCAGGACACAAGTCTCCCCCTCGATGATCCCCTTGACGAGCTCCTTCACATGGTGCGATAGCTTATCATGAAATTCAAAATAATTTATATCTTTATTTTAATTGGATATTACAATTATAATAAAACTTTGAATTAAGTAAATTATATGAAAAATTGAAAATTTTATAATATTTAATAGGGTTGTTATTCATATGCCCTCCTCAATCACATTACCAGACTTGGGATCATGTGAGACCAAAGATTTTCCGTGAGACCCGTAAGACCAATTCTCAACCCTTGGATTAGATCTACAATCTGACAATTTAAACATTCATAAACGCCACGAGATTTCTCAACAATCACAAAATTGTCACCGTGCAACTTTTAACCATTAGATCATTAGCTTATAAAGTTGATCAATGAACATAAATTGGTCTTACAGGTCTCACGAAAAACCCTTGATCTCACGTGAACCCAACCCCACATTACCATATATAATTTTCATTGCAATCGAGTATTCAATGCTTACATATACATACGACGTACGAAAAGAGAAGACAACCATTGGACAAAAACCACACAACTGAACACAAACATACTTTTCAACATGTAAAAAGTATTTAAATATTAATGTTTCAAGACAAAAACTTGAAAACATTTATGCAAAAAACTTGAATGATTAAGATTCAGTGATCTTGCCCATCCAAGTTGGAGGCAACATCCCGGTTTGCTCATGAACCGTGTTAAACAACGGTGGCAACATCTTATAGACACCGGCAACTTCCTTCATAGCAGCACCATCGATGCCCTCTCCGCCACCACTTGCGCCGGTCCAAATGCTAATCTTTGGTTGCAGTCCCTTGACAGCCTCTCCGTTAATCTTGGCCATTTCTTGATATATTCCTCCGTTAATCATCAAATAATCTCTTAAAGCTGCATAGTTTCCGCCCAATGCACCCAAAAGGGTGTGTATGTAGGTACCTTGGGCTTGGGCAAGGGCAACAAGACCCTCTGCTTCCTTTTGTTTTGCGTATAATTCACCATTGGCTATTTGTTGGCGAGCGTAAAGTGTGGCTTCGGCTATTGCCTTTTGAGCCTCGGCTTCTTTTTCTTTCTCATACAAAATTGCTTCGGCATCCTTTTGCTTCTTGTATAACTCCCAATTGGCCTCTTGTACCTTTGCTTACATCAAATTATCATATTAGAAAACATGATAAAAATATCATTGTACTGTTTTTTACATCTTAATTAACGAATATTTCACACAAAATGTTGATTGCTCGTGTACTTCAAATATTCATTTTCGTTACATAATTTATGTTTAAGCAACGATGTGGAGCAAAGCTAAGGTTTAACGGACTTTTTATTGATAGATGAGATAAAGGAAAACGGATTTGAAAAATTCCTAGATTAAAACAAAATGTTATAATTTTTATTTATTATTCGATTTTCTAGGTAAAAATTATTTAATTTCTTAATTATCCTTTATTTTGTTTTTTCAGTTAATCTTCTAAGTTTTTGTAGGTATTCTATGATTTATTAGGTCTATAAATAGGTCACATTGTAACACTTAATATTAAATATATTCTGATTTTGTAAATTACTGTTAAGAATTGTCCTGAGGTTTCTCTCAATTTTTGGGTTCATCCCGTTTTATTTGGGGACCCCTAAACCACAAACCAAATTGCAATGACAGTTTATAAATTTTTTTATACCGAATGATGATCAAATTAGTTGAACCAGACCACAAAAAACAGTTGATAAAACTAGTTTAGGCAATTTGTGCTCTATTATGGGTTTTAAACTAAGAAAAATCATAAAATCCATCTCTAAAATGAAATTTCTACCAATATAACATTACTAAAAAAATATTATACCAAATTATAAAATAAACATCTATCTTTAAAAAATTTAAAAAAATATATTGAGCTTGAGCATGTTGAAAGAAATTAAAATAAGTCTCATTAATAATAACTGAAATTTTGAACAAACATTGACCAAGTAGAAGGACGATTTGGGATTTTGGATTTTGTTTTTAACTGGATTTTTGAATTTCACCGATTTAAGTAATGCGGATAATTGATAATAAAACAAAAAAAATATATCTTGGACGGATTTTTTTGATCGTGCTATAAAAGTTGAGCCTAGAAACGTCCAAATATAGTTAATGCATGCATATTTTGGTGATTAGTTTGGTCCGAACCATTCAAAAAACATTGAAACTACAAATAAGACCAGATCCAACAGTTTGACTATTTTTCAGACTGAACTGGACCAGTAGACCGCTCAAACCGTAAAAAACGGTTCAATTTGACTTGGTTAGACCTATTTTATCAACCCGACAATTTTTTGATCACACATACCTACATCCAGAGACGGAGCCAATAAATTTATCTAGGGGGTGCCTATAAACTATGTAAGAAAATTTATAATGTATCTAGGGGATGCCTATAAACTATGTGAGAAAATTTATAATGTATCCAGGGGGTGCCTATAAATTAATCATACCGCATGAAATTTATCTTAAAAAGTTTGTCGATTCAGTAAATAAAATAAAATAAAAATCTTATTTACCTTAGTTTCGTATTCAACGCTAGCTTTGCTCAAGAACTCAGCCTTTAGTTTTTCCGTCTGAGTCAACGCGTTCATGATTTCAACCTCCTTCTGCAACTCGGCCTCCCGAAGCGCCACCGCTTTGTTGGCCTCCACCTCCGCCACCTGTGAATCCTTGGCCCACTTTGCCTTCTTCATTGCCAGCTCTGCATTCGCCTCTGCCACTTCAGCTTCCCTCTCGTTCTGGAACACCTTCACCTCTGTTGACACCCTTATCTCCTCCTTCTTCCCCTGTCCTTGATTTTGCGTCGATATGATCCTCGTCTCCGCATCTATCTTTGCTGCGTTTTGCAGCGTCTGCCCTTCTCGAAGCTTCGACCCTATTTCACCCTAAATCGATCATATCATAACAATCGTATATCAATCACCAACTCGTAACTCAATTAATCATGAGATTGTTAATCTATAATTGAAAACTAAAAGCAATTCAAATTCAAATATGATTATCACCTTCATCCTGGCTTCAGAAACATCAATTTTAGCTTGATTTGCAGCTTCCATTTGTGTTTTTTGCCCTAAATACGAGAAATACTCGTGTCCAGGAACGTCCACCAGCTGTTTGACGTTGGCGTTGTAGATCCACAATCCAAACTGATTCAATTCCAGCTGAACTTTCTCGAACACCTCCTGCTTAAAATCCTTTGTCCCTCTGAAGATCTCTTCCATGGTCATGGAGGCAGCAAGGACACGCGTCTCCCCCTCGATGATCCCCTTGACGAGCTCGTTCACATGGTGCGATAGCTTATCATGAGGAGAGATTAGTTTAGCATATTTGTGGAGACTGTCCATATCGTCGGAGCGTGGACCGATGGTGAATACGGCGGGAAGGATGAAGGGGAGTTTCTCGGCACTCATGGCCTGAACTTCGAAAGTGTAGTTGACCGGAGAGATGTCGAAGATGGAATAGGATTGGCCGGGAAGTACCCATGCTTTTTTAGCGATTTTGATATCATCGATCCCGAAGCCGGTGATGACCAAATACTCGGAGGCACTTGCTACTCTGTACATGGCCGAAGTATAATTAATGACGTTTGTTAACCCTTAAAAGTTGATGTTGCATGATGGATTTATATAGAAGAGAAGGATACTCGTTGAGAATGGATGAATATATATCTTGATTTTAATGTTTCGTTTTTATTTTTATGTTGATATAATAAGGTTTTATGTGTTTTAAAAAAAACGATAATTTTTTATTTTTGAATAAAAAATAAATTAAAAATATCATAAATTTTGAAAAAAATATATCGGTATCAGTATCAAATTAATCTTTTTAAAAGTTCTTTATTTTGGTGTAATTTTCTTAATTCAAAATTTTTAATTATAATTTAATATAGATTTAATAATATAATATTTTATAAAAATAATAAATAAGTATTCTGTTACACAAAACACGAGAATTATCAAATAGTTAATTTGATACTAATATCGATTTGTTTTTCAAATTTTTATGCTATCTTCAAATTTATATTTCATTAAAAAATAAAAAACATTATCATTTTCTCAAAACCATATAAAATCGTATTATATCGATAGTGAAAAATAAAAACTAATCATTAAAATGGAGATTTATCTCGCTGCATTGCTAGCTCCATTTTTAAATTTGTGTAATTAACTGCAGATAAACATAATCAAATACAAGATAAACATTTATTTTAAATATAGAAAATCTAAATTATCAATTAAGATAATCATTAAGTTCTAACAGAATTTTTAGTTATTATCTTTATAAAAATTATTTTAGTAAACCAAAAATAAATTACTTTGTTATTAAATCTAAATTAACGTATAATAAAAAATTGAATTAAAGAAATTACACAAAAAACGATAATTATCAAATAGTTAAATTGATATTAATATCGATTTGTTTTTCATATTCTTATGTTATCTTCAAATTTATATTTCATTAAAAAACATTATCATTTTCTCAAAACCACATAAAATCGTATTATATCGATAACAAAAAATAAAAACTAAAATTAAAATGAAGATTTATCTTGCTGCATTGCACGAATACCTTCTAATATAATATAATGAGCTCATTTTTCAAGAATGTCAAATTTTTTGTTTCAAGTTAAATTGGTGGAATGAAAAATTCATTCTATTTTCATTCCTCAATTTGACCTAAACATCCGTTAGCATACTCTCTCATTCTTTATCCATTTTAGATAAATTCTTAAAGATTTTGCAAAACGAAAATTTGTCCAAAATATCTCTGTTCTTTATTTTAGATAATTAGTTGAGGTGGTCTAAGTTAATAGTAGGGACGGACTCATAAATTTTTTTAAATGGTGACACCATTTGACTATAAGAAAAAACTATAGAGAAAAAATTTCAAACGATAACACCATTTGACTATAAGAAACAAATATACAAAAAAAATCAATGGATGACACTATTTGATTAAGAAAATGACACTAACACTATTCAAACTTGGGTTTGGGCTGGAATAAAAGCCTTGCAAACCAACTTTATCAAATAAAATTTGTTATTATTGTAGTTTCAAAATACATACAGTGGCACAAAACAGATTAATACGGTTGCACCTTTCACGAACCTAAAAAAATTTACCCTTCGACGGAGGAATACGGTGGCATAACCACCAAAGTAGGTTCGTCCCTGGTTAATAGTGATCTTTTTTATATTTATCAGGAATTCAAGTAGTACAATTTTTTTTATAAAAAGAAAATATTATTTTAGAGTAAAAAATATTTTGTTTTTGTAAAATATATAACAATCTGCGAAGCTACAATGCAATTTCATAAACAATAACGAAAGCGTTGCCTACGAAAATTGAGTATGAAAAACTGAAAATCATGACAACAAGCATTGGGTTGACAATGACATTGACATTCGTTAATTTATTTTTACTTAGGGGGTGTGTGGTTCAGTTAGAGGAATGAAAATGAGAATGAATTTTCATTCCTCCCAGTTTAACCTGGAATTAAAATTTGGGCTCTTTAGGGGAATGAGCTCATTATATTATACAAAACCAAACAGAATCTTTTATTTTCATTCATATTGATTACTGCTTAATACCCGTTAACCAAACACCCCCTTAATTTAATATATAAATAACGTATTATAGACTAAAAGATTTCATTTTGTATTAGTTGGTTATAACTTTTATTTTATAACCTAGATTTTATTATTAAAAATAACTTATTTATCAATATATATATATATATATATATATATATATATATATATATAGGGGAGTGATCATATGAAAACCGCTCTCATTTGTGTAAACCGTGCAAACCACCTTCATCTGTCGATTTCATTGTTTAATCTTATGAAATTTTTTCATGAAATTGTTTAATCTTGTGAAATTGTTTCATATAATACTTTTTTTGATGAATTTGTTTCATATATGGTTGTGAAATTGTTTCATATAATACTTAATGAAACTGTTTCATGTATTTCTCTAACATTAATGAAACTGTTTCATGTATTTCTTTAAAATTAAAATAATGAAGATGATAATATCTATGATTAACACCCTCCACAATAAAAATGATTAATCAACCYCTCATAATTACAAAAAAATGAACAAAATAAAAAATTATGTTTGGTTGAATGCGGTTTGCACGGTTTGTACAAATTGAGTGGTTTGCATTTGATCGCTCCCCTATATATATATATATATATATATATATATATATATATATATATATATTGACTTTCTTTTACAAAGAATATTAATTCTTGCACACCGTAAATTATGTTACTCAAATACGTTTGATAAATTTATAAGCATGGTTAAGAAACAACGATGTGCCGAGGAATTTAGGTATTGTGATAGAAATCGGTATGTATTCACGTGATGTAGCGAGAGCAGTGAATGTAAACGATTTTGAAGCTTTGATTTTTTAGCAAAGGAGATTTTAAGGCATTACGATGATAGGATTTGCATTTAGTATCTTTTTTTGATACATTTTGAATAGATAAAAGTTATGGTTTTAATTACCATCGATAGATAAAAAAAATTATAACTGTTCAAAATCCAATATAATAAAACCAATCAATGAATAATAAAAAAATAAATAATTTATTTTGTGTAATATTTGTATTTTGAATGTGGTAAATGATTTGGAGAATAATTCAAATACTTGATAAATTCAAACCGAATTAATTATCAATTAGTATTGATCAATTATGCAAAATTAATTGCATTAAGATGATTACCAAAATTCAAACAATTAAATTGGATTAATCTCACACGTCTTTATTAAAATGTCAATGGTTTGATGCAGAATAATTAAGTGGTCAGAATGTTTAAGAGACTCTCATGATATAGAGCAAAATGAAATATAATTGTTTGGTAATTACTACAATGAAAATATAGTGCTTAATGGTTAAGAAAGACCCAAGATACAAAATCATTCAGAGGATTTTAAACCATTAAGATGCAGACGTTTTTTTGCCAAACAAGATTCATCTTTTAACAATTCAGAGTTATCTCTTAATGAAACTATTAAGAGGTAAACAAACAACCCTTTAGAATCCGTTTGGGATTTTCTTTTCTAGTACCATCATCATCATCATCATCATCATCATCATCATCATCATCCTCGTCCCAAATATGATTTCTACATTTTATGTAGTTATAAATTTAATGAATTGAAAATGATGTGGTAAAAATGATTACAAAAAGTGGGCAGCATTTGATGTATTATAAAGTTTATTTAAGAAAAACTCATTAGGCGTTAACCGAACGCTTTATCTTAATGTCATGTTTTAGTAGGGCATACTAAGGTTGAGCCTAAGGGGCATTGACCTAGAGCTTGAAGCGTCATTTAGAGGCACAAGTGAGATAACATGTTTAGAGAACCCATACATTTTGAGATTGCTACTTTGGTGGTTGATGTAACCTGACTTAAATATAATGCTGATAGAAGTCCATATTAGCTCTAATATTCAAACTTTGTGATTGTTATCTTGTAACCCATCCCAAAAGTTAGACATGAATCGACTGCCTCAATCCAAGACAATGGGTAATTGTACGCCATGCCTCGAGACAACTTCATCTACCTATAATTTCACCGGCTTATCCATTGTATAAGAGCTTTATAAGTAAAATGTCCGTAGTAGACTTTTGATAGTTTTGTATAAAGTGACCCAATGTGTATTCGTCGTGATGAGTTGATATATGGGATATCGTGCGTTTTTAGTGGGTCGTTACATTACAAAACTTCCATGCATTAATTATGTTTTGACATATGTTTGCATTAAAGGATAATTGATGTTTGCAACCGTACTATATATTGTTTATTTTGTTCACACCCACGTACGGTTTTGAAACACATTTAATAGAGGATGTATCTTGTCCCTTATAAAGTAAGCTGAGTTCCCCATCTCAATTGATATGGGATTTTACATTTTTTATTGATATTTTTTATAGTTATAATGTTACGGTCAATACAAGAAAAAATAATACGATATATTTGGATCTTTCGATATAGCCTCGACAATATGTCCTTCCATTTGCTCCGTACAAGTAAAACAAGCAACCAAAATGAAACATATCTCTTGAATGATTCAACTTGGGTGTAAATTCTTGGATGTTTTGGTTTGGCATTTGACTATTTGTCATTTGTATATTTCCAATTGTTCAATGCAGGTTAACATAAGCACCTTCGAAGAAACATCTTCCATGAATACTTCAATTTTTAATTAAGGTTTTTTTGGATCTTTTTATTCAAACCCAACTATGTGTTCATTGTATATTTTTGTCGGTAATCGTGGGTTTGCGAAACATCATGCGCACACTGACTAATCCCTTGGAGAACACAGACATCTTGCAGTCATCAAAGGTGAACCTTCATTGCCACAATCAAATATAATAACAACATACTTTTAAATAGCATTATTTTTGGACTTCATTGATCTGAAATAAAATTAACAGAAAATAATAAATCATTCATCCAAATAAGTGAAGTCAATAAGTAAAAGTCACATGAAAAAAAAACAATATTATTTATTCCATAGGTACAACCGTACATACCACACTTTATTTTCATATTTATTTGTCTTATAAAAATATTTAGCTTGACGGATGTATTTTTATATAAATAGTTAAATAATAAAAATGCTACTTAATAAAATAACTTATTACAAATAAATTTCATCAATATTTTATAACATTTTTTTAGTAAAAATATAAAAGCCATAGCCAATATTAACAAAAAAAAAAAAGAATTGTCTGATAACTGTAATAAATATATAAAAATACATGTACTATTTGTTAAGTGGAGGAATTGGTCACATTGTATCACAATGCAATGAATTCATATTTCATAAATATTTAAATTATAATAAATAAATTTTTATAATTTTCATAAATATCTTAATTGATTGGGTTGCATTGGTTGTACAAATACAATGAGTTACATTTCAAATATACCCTATATATATATATATTAAAATCGAGATGTATCTCACTACCCTTGTGCGAGTACCCTTCTAGTATATATATATATATATATATATATATAGAGAGAGAGAGAGAGAGAGAGAGAGACCTGGGATCACATGAGACCGGTCTGTTTTTGTGAGATCTGTGATACTACATTTTTACACTTGAAACTTCACAGCAAAACACTGTGAAGGTATATCAAGGAGCTAGGTATAACTCTAAAGAATGACTCTTCAGACTTATAACTCTGAAGAATGACTCTTTAGATTTGTAACTTTAAAATATCTTTCACCCGAAGTCTGAAGTCTTCTTTTTCAGACTTAGCTCAACCAAAGTCTGAAGTCTTCTTCAGATCTCTGAAGATAAGTCTGCAGACTTCCAAATTGTTTTAATAAAACTTTCATGATATTTAGAACAATTTTGGTCCTAACAGTTGGTATTACAATATGGATTTATAAATTGATTTGGTGATTTTCACCCTATAATTACATCAAAGAGATTTCTCACTAGACTTCAAGGTCTAACCCTCATTTTGTGTTTCAAAAATGTACATTACAGGTCGAGCAAAATCAAAGGATAAGAGAAAGGGAAAATTTATGAGATGTCATATATGCTTATATGAGATGTGGAGCTTATCTATGGTCTTTTTGAAATACTTGTTTTATATATATATATATATATATATATATATATATATATATATATATATATATATATAGACTTGTGATCATGTGAGACCAGCCTGTTTTCGTGAGACCC